ATTTTGGGGTACCCAGAGGATGTCATCCATAAAAATAAAAAAGTGTGGCCTTATCTCGAGAAAAAAATCCAGTCTTGGTTCAGAATGGACCATTTTCGCATAAACCCCACCCTCCCTATAACCAACGGAGCAGGGAGATCTGTTTTAAAAAAAGCTGCTGTAACAAGGAGGCCCCGTACTGTACATACAGCCCAGACATTTGACCGTTTATGGGTTCACTGGTTGCCTAGCAAAACATCTTTCCATGGGGAAAAGAAGCAGCAAATTTCACTCTCATTTGTTTGTTTGTTTGTTTGTTTGAACGTTAAAAATATTTACCATTAACAAATTATTTCAATTTCCTCATTTCAGATTTATGCCCCAAGGACTGGAAGAGGATAGGTAACAAATGTTTCTTCCTGTCCTCATACCAAACCTCCTGTCTCCAGGCCAGCAAGAGATGTACCGCCCTTCACTACAAGGCACGGCTCGCTACCGCCCGTAATAAACACGAGTTTAAGACGCTCACCAAACAACTGGTCTTCCCGGCGACGCAACATACGCGATCGTACTTCATCGGTGAGTGGAAGGTGCAGAGATTTTTTAAGAAAACAATGTCTTTGGCTTTCTCTTATTATAATTTTGTTGTCGTTGTTATAATTCACATGATTCCCTCCCACTGTCGAACTGTGATAGTGAAACTTTTATTATTTACTCACTTATTCATCAAGTTATTTTTCCGCAATCAAGAATTTTTTTATTTAATCATGAATTGATGGATTTAGTAGACGAAATTATACGTTTCTTGCGATTTCATACGCGAATGTCTTGGGAAATCTTTTACTGAAATGTGTGTTTAATTATCTGTGATATTAATTATCTGTGTTGATTCAAGTATTTATTATCAAAAACTGTTATTACATATAGGCCTAGATGATCTCGATCACCCCTCAAGCTTCAAGTTCAGTGACGGAAGTCCACTGGGTGGCTATAACGAGTGGATTCCAGACCTCAGCAATACGGAACGAACTGGGTGTGTGATATTGGATCACGAGGAATCGTTTATGTGGCGCGGAGTCGACAAGACCAAACACGAGGACTATTTCATCTGTGAAATAAACAAAGAAGCTGGACACGAACGCTAAGCCACCGTGCAGAATATTTAAAACTACATATGCAGATACCTTTATCCCCTTGACATTATTAAGTTTATGTTCCGTTTGCGAAAAACATATACAATAATTATAAGTAAATAAAAAGACGGACCCTGTCATCTGTCAGTCCTCTTGAGAGTTCTTTAATTGCGTACAAAGCATAAAGTCAAAGCTTGAAATGATGGCAAAATTTGAAAAGAACTACTTAATCCTCCCAGATTGTCACTGAATATAATGGGAAGGGTCAAGAAAAGGGGGGGTCAAAGCTTAATTAGTCAGAAAAAAAGCAGGTTTCCACATGAAATTTGAGCTTTTCCAGGAAAATATTACAAAATAACGTGACAGTCTCCCATGCTGGAGACCCCCCTTCCCATTCATTTGTACAGGTGAGCCTCGCCCTAGATTTTGACCCACTTAGGTCAGACTAACCTTAACCATTAAAACTAAATGGAGGACAGACTTTCTGTTATAGGGACCCTCAGTTTCGTTACACAGGGCCCCCCTTCACAATGTCTCAGCTCTTAAAGTCCAAACTGTGGACCTCTGTGGGTACTTAGAATGATGGTGCTCAGAGACAACATGAAGGATTTATCACAAATATAATCCCAATAACATATTCACAACTTTATTCTCAATATGCAAGAAATTAATACAAAAGCACATAAAATGTAACTCTGTGACGGATACCTTGAGCATCTTCAACACCAATACTTTTCATTTCGATCAGAATACTTTCATGCTTGGAAAAAAATTACCAAAAAATGTAAATTAAAATAAAAAATACTGCCTTTACAAGGGGTCTGTGAACATCCAAACCCGAAGTCCATTGATTTGGACCAAACCATCGGTGAGTCCTGAGACTCCTGGCTTTCTTTGTCACACATGTAGCCATCATCTTTGGACCAGTTGCCAGCCTAATCTGACTTAATAATACAGCAGCTCTACATTGTATACATAATGTGACATAACAAAAACCTCAGCTGCCATAACATAATATTAGCCTTCAGAGTACAGATTATATACCCGGTATAGCATAATCCATTATTATTACCTGTATTATTATTGAAATACTTCTTTGTTTCTATTTTTTCTCACATAAGAGATATTCGAATGTGTTATCAAATATGGATGAGGCACATTGAAATCTCTCTCATCTGAGTAATTATTTTTATTGTGGCAAAAGAACTTCTGGTCATTATTACTCAATGAAAGCTCTGACTGGGTGTACATAAAATTCATATAAATTGCCATCCTAACAAACTACTACACAGAAGGTATATTTTAATTGTTTAAACCAGACATCATTTTGGAATGAAAAAAAGCAAAAAAAAAAATGTTGCAATTAATGGATCTTTGACGTTACCCTAAGTGGTAAACTCAAATGCAAAATTCAGTCCTGAATTGGAAAAAAAATTGTCTGAAACTTAACCATTGCTGAAGATGTAAAGAACACAAAAATGCAAAATATATGGAAATTCATACATGTATGTACCCCCCCCCCCCCCAAAAAAAAAAAAGAATTCAATAATATATTCTATTATACTGTCTTCCCACAAAGTGAAAAGAAATACTTTGCAATCGTATAATGGTATAATGAATAACAGACTAGTACAGGGATGAGATCAGTCCCCACTGAAAAAGTAGGAAAAATGGCTGGGGTCCAGGGTACAGGATTCACAAGAATGATCCAAATGACCCTGAAAAAGTCGGAATTCTGACAAAAGTCGGAAAAGTCTCATCAGTGCTAGTAATAAGTGCATGCTTAATGGAAGAGCTCTCGGCTGGCGTTTAGTGCACTTGACTTATCTAGGGATGACCTTTCCCATGGAGAATTACCCCAACTTATCCGACATTTTCGACGCTCCCTAGCAGCAAGCCCCTCTTACACAACAGCTCTGAATAAATAGCTATGATATTAATAATCTGGACTAATAATATAACCTAACCTTTCTGATGTAATAAATTAATTTTACTGATTATTTCTAAATTAAAATCTAATTTTTACTTTGAAGTCAATATATAAAATAGAATACAAAAAAGGCATAATATAATACTATGGAAACCAGTTTCACATTATGGTTATTCACAATAATCCACCCGCAGCAAATACTTTAATACTGCCATAACACCGGATAAAGAATATTACATAACATTCTAAAAATCTGATTAAAAACTGTTTATCACTTATTAACAAAACAGCAAATCTTGAAGCTAATTAGTAGCCAATATAAGAACAACAGCTGCATTTTAAAGCATTTTACTAACAATAAAAAACGAAGCCATAAAAGCTCCTGCATACGGCAAATCTTTCATGATGCTGCCTGTTCCCATTCCTGGTCCGTGCCTCTTAGAAATCCTATACATCTCAATCAGGCAGACTACGATATGGAGGACATCCGGCGGAGTCATTCCTATGTCTCTAAACACTTGGAAAGCATAACCTCTGCCAAGGAACACATTAGCCACAAACTGGTCGATTCCAGCCACAACCACGTGCATGAAATTAATGCTGAACACCATCAAAAGCTTTCTAGAAGTCACTGCTTGGTTTTTGTTGCAGAGGTTCAAATCGACTGCTGTTGAGATTATTTCTGTTGTGGAGAACAGTAACTGGTGATACCACTGGGAGTAGAACCTCTCGTTTATGTAGTTAAAGTAGTTCCAAACTGAGTAATAATGTGGATAGACGGAGGAGGCAAACAAGAAAAACCAAGTCCAACGTACTGCACCCTTCCTCAGCACCTTTATCAAATACCTAGAATAATATTATTTTTTTCTTCGTGAAACTTGTGGTGCATTAATAAAACTTATCCATTTTTCGTACATTTTGTTAACTGCATTAAAATCAACCCCACATGATGGCTGTGGTGCAAATTTGACAGTTAGTTATTGGGCATCACAAATTAACAGCTATGAATGATACAAAGTAGGAATCCATTGATATTCATATTTTAACGTAAATAGAAAATGTTAACAAATCCATGAATAATCATTCTTACTGTCACAACTATAATTCACCACTTAAAGGACCACAATCAAAAAGACATATATGAACACAGGAATTATTCTTTAATCAACTCTATTTTTGTCCTGTCTTTTGTGTACAAACAACACGAAAAAAAAAATGTACAAATATTTTTAAAAATATACCCACCTAATCACCTCATAACTGATGAGCAGAGATCCCACAATAAGGGCCCAGATCTGCAAGCTGCCAGCAGTGGCATTGAAATAAACATTTTTGTATCCCGTCACTCCTCGTTCATAGCTGCCTGAAATACGACAGGGTAAAAGTTGTCAATTGCAAGCTGAAAATTATTGCAAAGAAGCAGATTTTTGTCCATTTTGTAAAAACTCCATGACAAATAATAGATATTGGTGCAATAAGGAATTTAATAGTAATTAAAACAACAGTGAGAGACGGAAGGAGAGATTACAATCAAAGGGTAATCTTATTGTCCTACTCTAATGCCAACCCAATTTACCCAGGAAAGTAATAAATATTCATATTATCCAAAAGCATACACAATGTTTAATAAGGGAGCTACACATACACAACTGCTCACGTTGCATGTAACATCAGACAGTGAGTTAACGTTTAGTTTTATAATATAAGTAACTCATATTAACTATACACACTGTGACACAGCATTATTTTAGTTTATGTCCTAGTAAGTCAACTATTCTGTGTATAATATATATATATATATATTCTCTCTAAATTAATCCATCTCCAAATTAATCTGTCTCCAAGAGACAGATTTAAGGGCACAATCATATGCACCACCTCTAAATATTGTGTCAAAACAGCTACAGGTGCAGGTGCCCTTGTCTACCTTCCCCACTTTCTCAGGTACCCAGAACCATCTGTGGATTATTCCTGGATATCAAGAAAAATCAACATCAGTATATACTATAATACAGAAAACTGATATCGCACTGTCTCAAACCTTTGTGCTTAAATATAATTTTTAACAGAGCCAACAAAGTGGAAGTGAGGTGGTAAGTAGCAGCTAAAAAGTCGGCCAATTTGGATCATGTTTACAAGATTTAAGACACAAACAACGGGATGTGTGGACTTACTATTTTCTCTGTGCTTTTTCACTGTGTTCAGTATTAAGTTAAACCACCAAAATTTGAGAGAGAGAGAAAGAGAGTGAGGAAAGAGAGAGAGGGAGGGAAAGTTACCTATATGAATGTATGGAATTCCAATGAGTGCCAACATCCCCACTGTAAATGTAATGGCGTGCGACTTCCATGAGTCCAACTTCAACTTCCTGACAACGCTTTGATCTCCTGACAAAGACATTACTGAATCCATCCTGGCTGCCAATATGGTGCAACCTATTTATAGACAATGAAAACCAATAAATGATATAATGATATATAAACAAACAACAATAATAAACAAATAATGTACATATAAAGTTAAGGTACAGACAGATAAGACATTTCAACGTGAAGTAGAAATCATATGTTCACTGGAATAGCTCAGTTACCTACCTAGGAAACTTCCTTGCTTCAAATGAGTATTTCAGACAGAAGAACTGAGAACATTTACTGGGAAACCATTGACAAGTGATTCACGTCCTTTAGATTTACTGTAGTATACTTTGAAATGTAATGAATTACACTGGTATCAAGTCCCAGAAACCTATTTTCAGTAGACAGACAAAGCAGGCAAAACTTCAAAGAAATCAAACGGATGGGATCAAAAGGATGCTCTATGTGTTAATTCACGGTAAGGTGGCGCTCAAGCCGTATCACGTACAGTATCATTCATCGTATGACATTTTTATTCCGATTTCTTTTTGTAAACATTGCTTTAAATCTGATCACACAACAAGGCCGATCATAAACCAGTTAAGATCATTCATCCATTCAGTAGTTACTCTTCGGGTTCTTGAAACAGATGACGCTATTTTACCTTTCAAAATGCTACATCACAACATGTTCTCTCAAACGTTCTAAGCATTGGTGACGATATGGATGACCTCGACGGGTCACGGCGCATGTAGCGTCAGACAGCGTAATGATGTTTAGTTTTATAATATACTTCATATTTAGTATGTTGCATAATTTTACACAGTATTATTTTAGTTTTTATTACTTATTAAGTCAATTATTGTGTGTTTTATTATTTCTATAGATGTATTAAAAAGAGATAGATTTTAGTGCACATTAATATTCGAAACTACATATCAACACAACTCCGTTTGTAAAGTGGGAGTGATGGAGAGCGAAGAGGAGGAAGACGTACGGTGAGTTCACAAAATTATTTGTACGAACATTTTTTGGTCAGAAATAAAGCCTTTTCGGGGCATGCTGGATCATCTGAGAGACTTTCAAATAGAACGCTGCATGTACCAAGTCATATACCTAAAGCAAAGGGAAAGTATTTCAAAAATGCCACTCCATCCGAGTGATACTCCCACACACAAGATTTTGTCAGCGCAGCGAGTTGCATACACAGTGATTATTCCCCGCATTGTCATAGCTGTAGTTATGTATGTGTGTGTGTAATATGTAGATACTAAAGATAACATCTGTATACAGGTAAACTGTATACCGACTATAGAAAGTGTCTGCATACGTTGTGAAAACAAAATGTCCATACTACCAGTGTTACACTATACTGTAACTGTTCCTGGTAGATGTCTTTATATGCACCTGGAGCGTTCTATCATGGCGTGTCTTAAAAGCATTATATTTGAAGAGATTGACAGCGTAATAGGTTTCAATACATATGGGGTTTTCTTTATCTGCTGAGATAATGCTGTTATAGACATTTTTATTGTCTAAAATAATAACTCCAATCAAAAATATACCAAGATGGATTTGGTAATTTAAGATATTGATGTTGCAATGGTGTTTATGAGAAAGTTGTTAAAACCAACATAAAGATAAGTATTTTATAAAAGAAGTCGCGAAAGAAGCTATTTTGCATAGTACAGTAATCTGGGCAACTAAGGCTTCGTTCACATGGAAAGTCTATTTTCTAAAAATCTATTTTCTATTCACGGTATCTTATGATCATGGTCTGTGCTCTGAATATCCCGCGGCGTAATTACTGGCAACGTGAGCCAGTTACTTATAAAAAGCTGTAATTAATTCTCGTCTGTGCTCACATTCTATAAAATCTCATCCTCCTTTGCCGCATCGCTTGCCATCGGATCATCATGATGGTTGCACTCATATCTGTCGTGTGTATAGCTTCTTCATCTTCTTCGTCTTATTGTTGCACAAAATCGACAAACACATTTTTCAAAGCAACCGCGGCCGCCATTAACTTTCTAACTTCCTACTGCGCATGCGTCAAGGTACCAGAATCTCCTCCGAGCACAGCCGAGAATTAATTACAGCTTTGGAAGTAACTGGCTCGCGCTGCCAGTAATTACGCTGCGGGATATTCAGGGCACAGACCGTGATCACAAGATATACCGCGAATAGAAAATAGATTTTTAGAAAATAGACTTTCCATGTGAACGAAGCCTTAGGCCAAACCCCTTCATAACCCTGTAATCAACTAAGTGAAGCACCTGCACTTGACACAACCATTTAATTAATGGCCAGTTCATGGCTACTAAATATTAAAGTGTTTTCTTATTAATTGCTTCTTTGTGTGAAAAGGATCATGGGCAATTGTTAAAATTAATAGAACAAACATCAAATTTGAAAAATAAAAACATTTTCCAGAGGCCAGCACCATGGATTATTAACAGGGTTAAAGTCCACGGTGGAAGGTTTACTGGCCACTAACAGCACCAATGTGTGGAATACATATGGAGGACTGACCAGACTATGCACTGCAGTAGAGAAGATTCTCAACCACAAACTGAAAGTAACACAGGTGAGATTGCGTTAGAGAAGACAAAGTAAGGGGAAATGTGCTTAGCAGATTTCTGCTTAGTGTTGAACATACTACTATTGTAATTTAACTAAGGGAATTGTATATAATTGTGCTGTGTCCAGACGTGAATGCCAGTGACATACATTCAATTACTCATTAAGCAAATAATAAGTAGATATTTGTCTGCATATTCCTGAAGTTGAAGAGTTTAACTACAGCACTGATACATTTTTACACTTCTAATTACTCAAAGAAGTTTGGGTTGTTTTAAAGAAGAAATATAGGCATAAAGTCTGATGATTGTAGTGTGTAAGTTTTAAATTTCATCAATTTATTGATTATTTGTCAATGGAGATAAGTTTTTGAATTCTTGTAAGGAATTAAGGTGTTGGCTTGGCAGTCATGAAGACAGAAATGTCCTCTTTTTCCTTCTTTTCTTATATTTTTCAATAATATTCTGGTACTACAAAATCATTTTATCATTGTTTCCCCATGTCTGTAGCACACGAAAGTCATTTTATCAATCACTGTTTATTGTAGACCCAGTTTGGCAACACACTTGACTACTGGAACTTTATCAAGGGGCTGAAGTGGCTGAACCCAGTACTGGCGCCATCTATTGAGCAGATTAATAGGCAGGCTGGCACTGCTGGTGACCTTGACCTCTCCAGAGGTCACACTTGGGTCAAGCAAAGTCTGCAGAACCACAACTTATCTTCACAGTTACATACACTGGTAGAGAACAGAGAGCATCTTAAACAGCATTATGAAGGTGAGTTATGGAAAAATATTAATTTTTTTCTTATACAGGAGTTCATCTATGGGAAGATATTATTTCAGAGAGTGAGACAGTGTACTAGTAAAGTTTTCTTATTGATGGTGACTTGAAAATTGCCAGAAAATTAGTGTTTACTTTGATGAAAGAACATGGATATTTTATATATATATATATATATATATATATATATATATATATATATATATATATTATATAAATAGTTTTTTTGTGATCAGGTATCATCTCCTGGACTTGATTACCATTTGTATAAAAAGTATATTTGCTGGGTAGCACTAACACTCGCCAATTAGCCAAATGCTAAAACTGACTTAAGTTGGCTGAACAAAAGCTGGTTTATTAGTACCACCAGCGTGTACGCTGGCGGTACTCATGGTTTTAGTCCCGACCCGTGTTGTACGGCTCCGTTGGCTCCGCCGGCTCCTGCGGCTCCGCCGGCTCCATGTTCTGGCGCCGGATACAAGTCACCGTTACCGCTTCTCCTCCTAGACGGTATGGACCCATGCTCCCATCTTTTGGATTTAGGTTACATATAATCTCAACTTGAACCCCCTGTTTTTTTGGTCTCAGTTGGTGCATTGGCCTGGGCGTGAAGCTCATGAAAATGCACCCTTGTCAAAATTTTTGAAAATTCAATGCCAAATATCTCCAAAACTGAAGGAATTATGGGAAAAATTACCATAGAAGTCTGACCGAAAGTCATATGTAAAGATTCTAAATATGCCCTTGGATTTGACCTTTGACTTTTATTTCAAGGTCAAATAGGCCAAAATTGTCTAAAAATGGGAATTTTCTGCAAAAAAATATTTGTTTGTGGCAATTTTCAGAAACTACACAGACTTTAGCTCTTATATTACAGTGGGGGGTTAAAATTGGGGACTCCTTTCATCTTTGGGAGTTTGGGTTCAATCAGTGCATTTTCACGGGAGAAGCAGCCGTTACTTAGATGCCAAAACTGAAAATCCTCTCTTATTCTGGAAATACCCAAAAACTGGCAAAGATACGCCTATAGTTACTATTGACCTTGAATAGGAAGTGATATACTGGCAGTCAAACTGTGACCTTGAAATTGACCTTTGACCTACTTTTCGCCATAAACTGAACCTTGCAAATTTTCTTTCCCTTTTATCTCCAGACCTAGCAGAGATAAGCCCAAAGTTACTATTGACTTATGGAAGTCATATGCTGTTAATCCAACAGTGACCTTGAAATTGACCTTTGACACACTTTTTACCATAAACTGAACCTTTCAAATTTTTGTCCCTTTTATCTCTCAACCTGGCAGGGATACACCATTAGTTACAATTGAACTTGAATAAGAAGTCGTATATTTTCATTCTTATTTTGACCCTGAAATTGACCTTTGACCTATTTGTTATTCAAAAGTGGCACATATACACCTGCAGTGGCTATTGAAATTGAATGGGATATGTTAATGTGACCTTAAATTTGATTTGGACTACTTTTTAGCAGGAACTGCATTTTACAAATTTTTCAATTTTCATATCTCCAAAGCTGGCAGAGATACGCTAGTACGTACTGTTAAAATTGAAGATGAAGTCATATGTTATACAAAATAAGTCATTTCTGTAATAAAAAAAGTTTTATTTTCAAAAGCTACACTTTCAAGAACTATGTTTTGACAAAAAGTGATGAATCAATTAAAGTACCTATTTCAAGTAAATACACATTAAAACATATAAATGTAAAAATATTAATATAATAATTAATAATTAATATCAGAACAATAGCTTTAACTGCCGTTTTTGTGGTAAAACAGAATATATTATATTTCTATGAATTGTTCACAATCTTTTTATTGTGAAATATACATCTCATTTAGTTTACAGGTACAAAGACATTTTATTTTTATGCCAAGTTCGTAGTTTCAATACTGAAATACTTAAAGAAATAATAGCTCTTTGTTTTGGCCAAAAAATGAATTTTCCTGAGTAAACAACAATTTTCCCATACTTACCAATGGTTAATGAATCCATTTTTACATTTAAAATTAGTCCCTGGTATTTTTCTCTTTTCAGAGATTATAACAGAGTATAGTCATAAATGGAGGTCATGTGTTCTAAAGACAAGCTCAGATATCAGAATAATAGCTATAACTGCCGTTTTTGTGGTAAAATAGAATATATTATATTTCTATGAGTTCTTCACAGTGTTTTTTACTGTGAAATATAGATCTTATAAGAACAGTTATGATCCCTTTAAGCTGGTTTGTTTAGGTGGATAAAAGGCAACAAAGCTAAACCTGAAAATGAACAAACATTAAACATTGTTCCCATTACAGTATGTAAACAGCTTAAATTCCAGGTCCTACATTTACAATCTTACTATAACCTTGAATTTTACCTTTCACTGTTCCCCACAATTTCTTTATAAATGATAATTATGTACAAAAAGAAAAAAAAAAGAAAAAAAATCTTGTTTACTGCATTTCCTGAAGCTTGTCAACCACAACCGTACAGGTGGAGCCCCACTTTCTTTTTCTTTCCCATACAAATGCGCATGCCCCAGCTGGTGGTACTATACCAGGAGGCGGTATCGCCTCTCTGATCCTCTAGTTTAACTTGTCTTAGTCAAATTTAAACCATTTAGAAAAAAAAAGTAATGAAAAAGTAGTGATTTGGCCACGAGAAAAAAAAATGGCCAGGACTATCCCATAATTATTTGCCTGTAAATTCCACCAGATCTTGTTCTAAAGATCATAATACATTCAAGCTGATATGTATGAAGTTGAAAAGTACCTCAGTGCCTTGTGAAAAGCAGAGTTTCCATCTCAAATGTTTAGTTGAGGAGTTATTCCTCTTGGCATGCAAGACCTGTCTTTTTAGTATCTATTTTCCAAAATTATAGGTTAATATTCATTCGACCACCCATGCGTAGATATAGATTTATATCAAGTATTGAACTAAATAATATTTTCAACATAATGTTGTAATATAATCATGTGAAGTGTACTTGGTAAATGTGATTTCTCAGACAAGTTGATTGAAGGATGCCATTACAGTACCTTTCCTGCTTATCTCACAAAGTTTTGCAATCAAATGGTCTGTAACTGGAGTTAATCCAAAACTTATGTCCATATATTTTATTTCCCTTTCTTTGGCATTTCCCTTTTGCTCAAATACTAGTCATTATGGGCATAGTCTGTGCAGCATTTCTATTAATTACCTTTTTGTTATACTAGTAGTTAGTTTCTTTCCATATAGATATATTAATATTTGAACTCTTTCAGATAGATAATTTTCATGTAATTTTGTCATTTCTGCTGGTTCATATATTACCACATACTAGTAGGCCTGCATCAGTACACGTTGGGCTCATTCCCAATAAAACTATTGCTCTACATAGATCGATCCAACTCCGCAGGGACTCTCACTGGATGCTATCATATTAACACACCTCCTCTTGTTTCTAACTTGACTCTTATATAATCATCAGCTTTTCTGTATTACACTCAATACCAGGAGGAGGCGTGTTAATTTTTTAATCTGACTGTATTCACCCCATGGAGTTGGATCGAACTAGGTAGATTGATAGTTTCATTGGGAGTGAGCCCACTGTCTGTGTACAGATTTTACATGACAGAAGTACTCATAGAACAAAATATCTGTGTTCATGATGTGAAGGCTCACACACATTTTTGTGTAGCACTTCAGAAATTTGAGGCATGTGGATCGGATGGTCAATATGGTTTCAAATGCACCTGTCTACTTACATATCTCCTCCATCTACTCATACTAAGTGAAAAAATGAAAAATGGCATTTTAGGGAAAGATAGGATCTTATCAAGAAATCTGTGGATTTTTTTCTAACTTTTTGATGACTTATATATAATATGTATTATTTATGACATGTGAAGCAGATGTGACATGTGAAGCTAGGTAATGGGAGGTGCACATGTACTGGATCATTAGTCTGGATATGAAGTAACACAGGGGGAGGGTCAGTGTGCTGTCGTGCAAGGAAATGATAAAAATAAAGCATGCTGTTGCTTTGAGACAGTGCAGAGTATGGACAGCTCTCTGTGGTGAAGATTATTATAAACTGATGGTATGGTATTGAAAAGAATATATTTCTGTGAGTCTTTTTTTTTTTATTTCAAATTGATGAAATTAATAAGAAATTTTAGATTTAATTTTGATATAAATTTCTCTCTCTCTCTTTCTCGTGTGTGCTAAATTTGCTCACTGGATAAGATGTCTTCTGCCCCATCATTTTACCTGTGTAGTAAGACCAGGTTTCAGTTAATACCTGCTGCTTTAGTGATGTTTTTTTTTTATTTTTAAGTGTGATGAGGAAGCATCTGCTTGTGCAATGCTGGGTTTACACTATACAAGATCTTATCAGCACCTTAAGTGTGTCTGGTTTCCATATCTGCCACTGTACACCAGTTTCAATTAGAACAAAAACTTTTTTGTGATTGTTTTTAGTTGCTTTTCTACTGATTAAGTAGAGAAAATCCAAACCTTTTTTCCCTGTGGACAAGCATTTACGTGCTCTTTGTTCAAACCAGTATCATGCCAATTTGCTTGACATCTAAATGGGTAAGGAATTTGGAATAGAGCAGGTGCTTGAGGGACATTGTCTGTGAACAAAGAATTTGGGTCGATCAGGTAGGATTTGGTATATTTATGTTTAAAGATATGAAAGGCTTTCTGCAGGTAAGTACAGTTTTCATATTTTGCTTATTGCTTGTTTTACTTTTGTTATTATAAAAGGTGCAAGAATTTAACCTTCTTTTATTATTATTTTCACAAATAGTGCATGAATTCAAGGGGGGGGGGCAGGTCTAGAATGTCATCAGACTATGGATAAAATGTCAAGGCAATTTCAAAAGGAAGGGTTCTTTTTCTGGTAAAGTGGACCTTTTACCATGAAACCTTCACATACCTTGATAAAATTTTACTCAGAGGGGGGCCTTTTCCCAGCAAAAAGGGGGGTTCTGACTATGGGCCTAATGTCTTTCCAACTTCCACAAAAACAGTACTCATATCATGCTCTGACAAATGGCAATATATGCAGAAAACATGCCAGACATGCAGGTGTGCCGTTATATGTAGCACATTGTGAGTTATAATAATTATAATTGAATTAATTATAATTGAAGTAATGCAGTTCATCACAGAAGACCACCAGGTACAGAGCACTAGTACTAGTATGTTAATTGATAGCAACATGACACAGCCCTAGATTCACCCCAGGTCCATAGGCTATTGTGTCTTATTTATTTATTTATTGTTAGATAATTTATTAAATAATTTAATTGTTAATTTATTTTTTCATTATTTATTTAATTTTTCAAATCAGATTTCCTTGTTGTAGCATGCTATGAAGATAGTGGAGTTCTTCAGTGATCTAGTGGCAGACTAGTGGGGTGGGGGCAGGGGGGGGTGGGGGCAGGGGGGGGCAGGGGGGGTGGATGGGGTGAGTACCTAGGGAGGGGGGAGGTGGAAGAAAGGATACAGTTTAACTTATAATGTTGTGATCATATGGAAATGCTGAATCTTTCCCTGTTTTGAACAAATCATTACTTGTCAGTAATAAAGAATTGAAAACAAGGTATAAAGGATGTACAGTTTTGGAAGCGTTTCTTTATAGTTTGGATATTTTCCTTTGAATTACAGGGGTATATGTCAGGCCATCACCTTCAGATAACCATTATTTATATTCAGTCAGATGTCATTGTCATACTTCATTGTCATGTGTCACCCATATCTAGAGACAGGGGAAATAAGTGGAGATGAGGACACAAATATGAACGGGATAATATGTGTACAGTATTGTTATTTATTTGGCTGATGCCCAGGTAATAGTGTGTATATATACATATAATTTCCAAACTTGAGTCACCTGGTTACCAAGTATATCGGGGTGAGCGGTTAAGATGAGGACGCGGAGGTGATGTGTATTGGATGAAATCCAGGGCAAATTATGGTGTTGTATTACAAGTGGGACACATGAGTAACCTCAGGATTCTTGAGCAAATTATGTAGAGTTCTTTTTAATGTGAACCTTTTTGTGGCAGAGGTTGCCCCTTGCCTTTTGCAGGGTGGTAGGAATTTTCCTTTTCTAAGGGAATAAAAAAAGTTTGTTTTAGACTAGTAACTAGGTGATTGGATATTGCTTGGACATAATTATGAAATGGGCGAATGTTTACCCAAATGCACATAGCTTCAAAGGAAGATGCAGCGTTTCACGTCCTTTTGTAATTATGTCCAAGGATATTGAAAGAAAAAGGGATCACGATGAGAGAAATTAAGAATATAAAAGAAAGAGAATAAAAAAGAAAAAAAAAAGGGTTCAAAATAGCACATGACTGGATTTTATTTCAGGTCCACATTTTTTGCAGAACAAAGCTTGTTAATCTTTTGAATATACTGAGTATCCTAATTCTTAGCACACAGCATTTTCTATCTGTCATTTCGATCACTCTCCTATCACATCATCTGTCTTCTGTGATCACACACCGCCTGCGTGCACACGAGGGGCCGTTGGATCCCCTATAACATGGCATTCTGTACAAATTGATGATAAAAATCTGCCATTATTTCATCAGGACTTCTCTCTTGGCATCTCACCAAGACTCAGGCTGATTTATTTCAACCTGTACCCCCTGAGGATGGAAAAATAAGAGTTACCTAGGTCGGCCATGATTTAACAGTTAAGCTTGTAAGTGGGAGAGTCCATGAAAGAACCTAGGGGGAGGGGATGTAAATGTAAACAAAAGCACATGGACAAAGCATGTGACATAGCCTTCATATGCGTATGTGTTCAAACATAATTGTGGTATATTTATGTGACATTTTAAGAAGGTTGGGAAGTCATCCTGTTAAAATAAGAGATATACTGTTCATGGGATAAAGTTGTGGTACACAGTTGGTTTAGCAACTATAACAACATCTCAGATTTTATAGTGGATTATTGGAACAAGTATACAAACAGGAGGGATTTATGTACATATTATATGAACTCACTTCAGTTTATCCCCTGGTAAAGTTTACATTCCACTAGGAATTTAGGATTTTTAACACTATTCATGCAGCATTTATGTCTTAGTGGAAATTTCAGCTGGAGTTTTATAGTATTTACCATTGTATGGACAAGTTAATTTAGATTCATACTTTTCTTAGTTTTATGAGTTCAAGTGACGGTGGGGTTTGTGAGGTATTTCCTGTGCAGGCAGGTGGAGCTTTTAAATTTGCTAGGGACAGCACCCACTGCAACAAGATCAAGTGCAGTGTATAATAAATAAGTTACGACTGTGAGTGGGCCAAAAAAAAGCTTACAATTGCTGCCATGACATGCCTTGTGAGTTTGGATGTGATGTGTCCTTTCATTGACCTTTCAGTGTATTAACTGGACTTTTCTAGTTTCTTATCCTACAAGTACAGTAGGTGAATTGCATTTTTGAATGTGACCAATCCCTAGCACTGACCTGTGACAGTGATAAAACATGAAAAAAGCCAAAGAAGTCTTTTTCTCGCCAAATGATGCAAGTAATAAATGATAGAACATGTACATGTACATTAAAACTTAATATCTACAGCTGTAACAGCAAGAAAAGTTGATAACCAAATGGTCAAGAAATCAAGACTATTTTTATTTTGTGATAATATCCGACGTGCACAGAAGACTTGACATTTTACATTTGCATAAAAAATTGTGTTCTTTGTTGAACATATTTTGTTTCAGTGATGGGCAATAAGTGGGAGATTTTTAGGTAAAAACTTATCATCCAATCTATAGGCCTATCTTTATGGACAAGCATATGAACTTGAGATAATTTCTTTGGTTTTGAGTTTAGAGATGCTGACCAAGTTTGAAAACTTTATTAATTTTTTTATTTATTTATTTATTTATTTATTATTTCAGAGTCAGCGTTCCTGCGTCACCATGAGTACATGCGAGCCATGCTTATCTGCCTCCAGGCAGTGGAGAACAACAGGGTAGCTTTACTGGCTGAGATCAACCCTTTACTGGTAGGTGCTTTAAACCGATTGCATAAAAGAAAGGGTTAGGGCTGCCTTGAGTCCACTAAGTTTCCCGGGCTGCTTTAAGAAAAAAAAAAGAGCTGTATTTTTGGAAAATATGTATTGTTTTAGAGTTGATATCACAGGTATCTTTATTCTATACTGTAAAACTTCTTGTCAGTGATTATGTATTTGTTTGTTTGTTTTTGAAGGTAAAATTTCCACTGTTTTTATGAAGGATCATATTAGCACGTTTGCCTTGTATTTATTTATTTATTTATTTATATTCAGCTAAGAACAGGCAGCAGTCAGAGAACCAGGGGTTTGGTAATATCACATGTGAGGAGTTCCTCTACGAGCTCACTCCCTGCCACGCTACCTTCCAGCTCAGCCATCACCATGCCGCGGAGAGTGAGTGAGACAGACCCTCTGGCACCGCCATTACCGTCACCAAAGTCTGACTCTGTCCTCGAGACATCAGCAGAACATGCCACTGCTACCTTGGGTAAGTTTTAGATGAAAATAATGAGTGAGATGCCATCTTCTTTCCTACACACACATGTGCAGACACACGCTATATTTATAGTCTTTGTGAATTTTCTTACCGTAATTTTGATAAAACTAGCAATACCTTTAGTAACAGGCCCGTGGCCAGGGGGGTTCAGGGGATTCGAAAGAACCATCCTTTTTGCTGGGAAAAGGTCCACTATGGGTAAAATTTGACCTATGTACTTGAGGATTTCATGGTAAAAGGTCCACTTTTTCAGAAAACGAACCCCCCGCTGAAATTGCTGGCTACAGGCCTGAGTCTTGATATATGAAAATATCTGCTCCACTTGTTGGACTTCATTTCTCAGTCAACAGAGGTAGAAGTATGAGATAACAGCAGGTCATTGACCTGTTAATTGTGATAGGTGTGACAGATTGGTTGTGACAGTGGAGATGCTGATGCAATTGGGGGTGTTAGTAGATTCTGAAACAAATGCAAGATAAATGGTTGTGTTTTAGTCACACACTCATGCATTGGTATAAACACATATTACACACTTACACACACGCATCTTGCATTATGAAAAAAATTACCACACTTAATTCTACATAACAAATTTTAGGTATGATATAAGACCTTTAATTGAAACTTAATTTCAGATGTTTGCTAGCACTGCTCATTGCAGACAAAATTACACATTTTGCTAACTTACATGGAAGTCGCATTCATTTATTTCTGCTCTGAGTTATTTCACCTTGAAATGACCCTTCAAACATCCATATATTATATATTATGTAAAAGAGGCGTGTCACCTAAACTCATCAATCATGGACATAGTATGGAGATGTATTATGCAATGCTAATTGTGATTGGCTACCTTAACACATGATGGACATTTGAGGGAGGGGCATGTCGTGAGTGACATTTGGAGGGAGGGCAGACTTGAGAATTCTTGGGTTGAAAGTGAAAGGAGAGATATCATGGTAAGTCAGATCTGTACCTTGTACAAGACATGGCTCTAGAAATAGTGAGAGCTAGAAAATCCTTCAAAGAGACCCTGTATGTTCTTATCAATGAGCAGGCAGAGGAAGGGGCATTGTGTGGTTTATCTGCCCTGCAAGGTGGGAAATGAGCTGTTTGTTTTTTGTAAATATATTAATATTCTTGGAATATATTTAAGAATTCATATAGTAAATGTCTTTATTTGAATTAATCATTTTACATATTAAACTGCATGTACTTTATTTATTTATTTATTTCGTTTTAAATTTAATATGTTCCAATATAGTGTTTACTCTCAAATAACCAAGGAATGTAAGGATATGAATGTTGCTCAAATATTATTGTGTGTGATAAGGAATTTAGCTGCCTTCTTCACCTCAGTCTATGAAAAAAAGTAGAAAAATCTTAAGTTTTGACTAAATGAATATTGAGTTATTGATAAAATACTTTTTCAGTTATTTTTTTCCATTAATCCTTTATTATATAATTGCATATTTTATGGATAAGTACTTGCATGTGTGTTAAAGGATTATAATAATGAATTGATATTATTTTTAATGTAGAGGTCTATATGTCATGTGTTGGAATAAGAAATCAATACAGCATTGAGATTATGTGTTCATCTAGATTTTCGCATGGAGAGTTTAAAAATATGAAAAAAAAAATTAAAGGAAAATATTTATTTTCAAAAATGTTAATTTTCCTCTTGGTGCACATTTATTTTAACTATGAACAAAAGCTTTAGATAGTGTTTAGTTGGTGTGCAGATAGTTGGCATACCTGCTCAGGCTAAGAATGTCAGGTATTCCTTAATTGTCCTGTGACCCATGACTTCCTGTCATCAACAGGTGAAGACATACCTGGATTATAGCTTAGGTCAGGTACAGACACAATGAATGCTGTGTCCTACTCTCCTAAATTAACTCTCTCCTTCTCCCCCCTCTCTCTCTCTCTTCCCCCCTCCCTGCTCTTTCTTTCCTCCCCCTTGCTCAGCCCTCTCCTTCTCTTTCTCTGTCCCTCTCTCTCTCTCTCACACACACAAACACATACGTATTCACATAAACACACATAAATACTAGTACACACACACACATACACAGAGAGAGAGAGAGAGAGAGAGAGAGAGAGAGAGAGAGAGAGAGGACCGCCAAGGGTTACAAACCAGACTGATCTTATCATCCACACACTGTGGTCACAGATTATCAACAATGACTCCCCTGTGCTTCACTGACATATAGTTTGTACATATATCACCTTTGCCACTGACAGTACAAAGTATTGTGTACAGTGTAATATTTTATCCTGTGTCCCAGATAGGAACTCCTCGTACATGTGACAGGGTCTTTTCACATAAATTAAGACCAGTGACATGGCTCTGGCTGTCATATAAGCTTTAGGGAGAAATTGGCTAATATTACTATATTGGATATCAGGACATTGACTTTTTTACAGGACTTTTATTGACATATATATTGCAGGTAGGTGTCACTTTATGTATTTCATCCAATGTGTGCATGCGTGTAATATGTGCATGTGTGTGCAAATGAATGTGTGTGTAGGCACGTGTACGTATGATGCAGGAATGTGAGTGTATATACATCACTCCTGCATGTAACATTTAAAGTAAATGTCATGCATAGATTTCCTTGTTAAGTGAACACAAAAGTGAAAGTGAAACTGCTTCATTTTCATAATGTTAATTTTTTATTTTTTTTTTATTATTTTTTTTCATTATGCTGTACACCACACAAATGTAATGTTCTGTCAGCACTATAGGTTGAGATCTGTATGTGTATGTGTATGTTTTGGGGGGTATGTGTGTGTGTGTATGTTTTGGGGGGTATGTGTGTGTGTGTGTATGTTTTGGGGGGTATGTGTGTGTGTGTGTATGTTTTGGGGGTATGTGTGTGTGTGTATGTTTTGGGGGGTATGTGTGTGTGTGTATGTTTTGGGGGGTATGTGTGTGGGTGTATGTATGTGTGCATCTGTTTGCTTGTGTGTATGTGTGTGTACAATAACCCCAGACAGTTGGAGTTGGTCTATGTAATTATATATATAACACAGTCTGTGTCTGGAAGTTTTCTGCCTGCTGGTCACTCTGTCCAGCAGACCCCATACAACTACTTGACCATCTAATGTCCAAACCTACCAGTCCGTACATGGCATCAACAGAGCATGGAAAATTGATCTAAAACAGACACATGAATTATATTACCTCTAGGTACAGTTGGACTAGTAACTTTGATTATTCTTACTTGTTCGATGCCAAATCTATAAGTCGACTGGCTTAAACCTGTAGCTTTTTGTGCCAGCTGGCTACAGTTAAAATGGGCATGGATGAGACTTTGGTAAAACCTAGGTAGGTAGTATGGGAGTTTTAGCATTTTGACAGCCATTTTTTATCTGGTTTAGTTAACTGGTACTGTATATGATATTGTCTGTACATGTACAGTAATCTTCTGGGCTGTTATTTCATTTATCATTAACACCATAATATAGATTCTGTTTGACTAAGATAACAGTGTCTGATATCAAGTAACATTCACATATATATATATACACATATGTACAGGTGATAATTGTCTAAATTTTAACCAAAGGCTAGGTGGGGTTGCTTTACATGTACATCAATTGTGCCTTGAGTATAATATAATGCCATACATACTTAATGATGTGGTACAGAGGCACTCAGAATGTTTTCACTTTTTTATTTTTATTGAAAATCTTTGTAGGATTGCCACCACAATTGATTCCTTCTATTCAGCTATTTATTCTCTAAATATTTGCTGTACATTTTATACAAATAATAATTTTAATAAAAAAGCTTTGTCGTAGGTTATTTCAACTCCAATAACGCTTAGCTGTAGTGTATGTGCATGTCGAACGAGTACATGTGCAGACCACGTTATTGATTTGTTGTGGAGCTGAAAGAGAAGATTTATTATTTTGGCAAAAATGTTGAAAAAGATGTCAAATCATTCTTTGTCAGGGTCTTTGTAGTAATTACCGATAATTGCGAAAGAAATATTACGAAGTCTTCATCATTTTCTGCTGTATATTTGGAGTGTGCACACATTTTAGGAAAACTGTTATATCAAGCAGGTCATTAGTGGAACAACACCTGATAAACCTCTCTATTAGTTCAATCAAGAAAGGTAAAACTGCACAAAATATATGTGTATGTGTTAATTGGTGCTCTGATTACTTTCTAAAACATGTTGTCTTTTTTGAACAATGCTAATTTTAGTCATGTTTTCCTTAAAGTTAGCTATTGGGAAATTTATACCAGGAAGTGAAATCCATGTTTATGTATACAGAGTGAGTGTGGTACACAAGCTCTCTGACAATGAGTTATGCCACAGTAATCTAGGAAGGCCACATATAAAGTGATATATTAGATACGGAGGCCATGCAGATTGTATTCAAGCTGTTGGATGCACAGCAATATGCTTAAAGGAGTGAAATTGGGTCTGGTTTCACACAGTGGCAGCTTAGGGTAATATTATGTGGATATGGTGTACTTTTTTCAGCTGAAATTACTCAAAAGGTATGTATGTAAGTGTGGAAGTACGTGTATTGAGGTCACTGCTGGTAGTTTATATATGTACAGATCCTGCAGGTGGAATCGACCTGACAGTGACACATATACATAGATGTATGAACAGAGAGAGAGAGAGAGAGATTTGGGCATGCCTCCTCAGATATAAGAGACAAATTACGTATAATTGTACAACAGTCGGTGTTGAAATTTAATATATCATGTAATATATAGCTTAATTGTTAAATTAAACTTGATCACGTATTATTCACATGTGATGGCTGCAGTAGGATATTAGTCATATACATTGTATCTGGCCATGTTTATACATAATGTTATGTAAATACTGTGTATTATTATCTGTAGTATTTGAAAGCATATTTCTATCATATGATAAATGCACAAGTTTTATTTGACAGTGATTTAAACATCTAAAATCTGCTTTCATCAGAACTGCCAAGGTTCATCCCCTTTATATAGACATGTTTACCATCTGAAGTTTTCAGCATTCAGAACATGGAAAAAACCACATATCAATACCTCCGCCATTATCTGGGTCAGTGCCTTTTGTTAGTCTTACGTAAGAGATTACTATGGGGCCATTCACAGTGAAGTATGCTGACATAGCTAATGTGCATTAACTCCACAGGGACTCTCGCTGAATGCAGTCAGATTAATAAACTTGCTCGCTTCCGCTTAGTATTAAGAAGAAAACAGAAAAGCTGGTGAATATGTGAGTACGCTATAATCAGAAGGAGGTGTGGTAGTCTGTTTATCTGATTGCATTCAACGAATTGGGCTAGTTCAGTTATGGTACTGGATGTGCAAAGGTCCTTAATGTCTGCTGAAAATAGTATTTTTTTCCAAAGTGGGAAGTCAAATTATGATCATTTTTTCCTCCAGATTCTAGCCCAGAGGTCCAGCCGTCAGCCAAAGCAGCTCTGTTGTCCGTACTAGAAAAGGATGGTTCTTCCGTGGAGCTGGAATCCACTCTGAGCTTTCCACGCATTGAGAGCGATCCTCTCCTGAATACAGAATTTTTCCCAGAGGATGATATGCTTTCACATGTGGAGCCCCTGGGGGTAAGCAGGAGTCCCCATAGAGCGTCCTTTGTAATAAGTGGGAGTCCCCATACACAGGCTGTGATTGGGAATAAGAATCCACATACTGTTGGTGTGTCAAGGAGTTTAAGTGTAAATACGGTTCATCATAGACAAACGAGTGTGCCATATTCCCCTAGAGGGCAGCAGGGATCAGGAGCAAGACTCTCCCGTTCTGTATCCTCGTCAAACACAGAGGCGTCAAAAGTGTTGGACAATTTGCTCAATAGTGATAGTACAGGAGATGACTCCGAAGGTACAAATTTATTTCCCAGGACTAATTTATTCAATCAACATTCAGTTGGCCTTGACACATTACCTGATCAAAATGGAAATGTATCTCTAACAGGTACTCAAAACTTGTTTGAATATCCGACTGGCAAAAGAAACGGTGTTTTAGATAAGGGTAAAGAACACAGCACAGACGATAGCAAAAGGAGGAGTTTAACTGACGAAGGGACAGATTCAAAGGGACAATCGAAAGGGAGGAAAATTTCACATATCCGTTCAAGATCGGATGGTGCTACACTGAAAGAGATGTCATTGGACGATCCTGCTGACCAATCAGACTCCACTTTAGTGGATCCTGCGACCTACTCATCGTCTCTTCCTGCCCATGCTGCTGGCGGTATGGGGAGGAAAGGAAATGGTAAAAATCTTCTTTAAAGGAGTCAGACTGTGTACACTGAAAATTATATGCTTACATTACATGATTATTTTGTTACTTTTATTTTAAGTTGATAACTTAACGTACAATTCTGAATTCTTGTTCCACAAATGCATGAGACATACTCCCCCTTTTATGTTGACTGCATTCTAATTAGTTAAAAAATCTGTAAAAGTAAAATCTGTAACAAATATTTATAAAATTCAACATTGAAAACTGTAGCCAGTACTTCCTAATTTGTAAACGATCATTTAAGTACCAGTAATCAGTTTTCAAGTATTCATTTCCACTGTTTAATTAAGCCGGTGCAGGTGCCCTACACCCTGGTGACAGCACAGAAAGTTTCCTGTCTCGTCCCGCTGAGGGTCAGTCTCTGATCAACTACTTACAGTCCCAAGACTTCAGCTACAGCGCTGACCTGGATAAGGTAAGTATCAACATAGCGCTTGTTATTAACCTGTCTCCTGGAATCAAAATGACAAAAAGTAGTGGTATCAAGGTAATGAAGGACTCATTCCCAATGGAACATTTGTTCTATGTAGGTCAACACAGAGGGGACTCTTGCTGAAGGCAATCAGATTAACAGATTTAAATGTCTCTTCTTGTTTCCGACGAACTCGTATTTGACTCTATGCCAGGAGGTGGCATGTTAATCTGATATCTGGTTGCATTCAGCTCGAGTCCCCACCGAGTTGGACGATGTAATTAGAAGGCTAGTTTTATTGGGAATGATCCCCAAGTCCCCGTCTCCATAAAAAGATCTGATGTTTCCTGCCTCCCATTCCAGGAGAATGCTCACTTCAGTATCTCCGAGGCACTAATAGCTGCCATAGAGCAAATGAAATGGAATCAGGTGATAAGACCGTTCCGAGAGTCTGACGAGGAGGAGGCAGACTCAGACGAAGAAATACAGCAATTAAAACAAAGAATTAGAATTAGGAGGAGAGAGAGGTTAAAAGAGGTTTGTACCTTTATGTATTGGTATATTTAAAAGTTCAGGTCCAATTTTAAAGGCCAGTTAGGACATTTGTAAGAGAAATATTTGAATTAAATCAGATCTATGAGAACAAAATGTGAGGTTAATTTTTATTTTAATTTTTATGCATGTTAACAAAATGTTCAGGTTGATTGGTATATTTGCTAAGCTGTAGAATTGATATTGATAAAAGATAACTACATATTATACTGGATTAGAGGTGATAACATTTGCTGTTTTTAATTTTATCAGAAACATCCAGAATTCCCCGCATTTAGTGATGGAAAGACAGACAGTAGGTGTTACACTAGATCTAAAGTAAAGGGTTTAAAAAGTATTTTTCTATGAATCAGACCAATTATTTTACTATATATATATTTTAAAGTTTTTGTAGCCAAAGTAAGTAAGAATATAAATTTGACAAAAGGTCATATATTTTTCGTCATCAGATGTATTCAAGATGTGTATTTGAGGTTACGACAACTAAATAAATTTTTCTTGCAGCAACCAACAGTACTGCTTCCAACCTGAGCTCCTCTCACGACTCTTCAGATTACTCAGGTAATTTTTTGGAATAATTCATGTATGTAAATTTTACATTAATTTATTTAAAGTTGTTTGTCTTAGCTCCTATGATATTTCATTTTAAATGTGAATCAGTATAATGTACAAAAAGACATCTAAATAGTAAAAACAACTATAGAAATTTAGGAACTTAAATGAAAGTTGTATCATGTGCACAGTAGGAGTATTTGATAACTTATTTGATAACGTATTTATTACTTTTTGCATCTTCTGCAGGATGATATTTCAATAATCATAATTATTTATTTATTTATTTATTTATTTATTTATTTATTTATTGTACCACCAGCGTTAGCGCTGGCGGTACACATGGTTTCGGTCTCGTCCGGATCGTTCCGCCGGCTCCGNAGATAGGTCCATAGTTACTATTGAACTTGAATAGGAAGTCATATACATATATATAGTTTCAGATCACCATATTTCTGAATCTGAGAATTTTTATTACATGGCAAGATTTCTTGATATTTTTCCACTGTATCACATTATTGCCATTTTCAGATATTGACAGTGGAAGTGATGAAGTGGAAGACAGAGAAATTGAAGGTAAAGTAATTGCTACATTTGGGTTTATGGAGGCATCTCAGATAGTTGTGCTAGTCACAGTGACCGTTTTATATTTTGTCAATTTTTTACCATTTATTTATTTATTTATTTATTGCAGTTTTATGAAGCATGCCCTTTTGCTTTTAGTGTATTTTTGTGAATACCAGCATGTCTAGAGTCATATGTCAGTGTTAGAGTCTTCAGCTTTATGGTCATGTTCACAGCAGAACTAAGATAAAACACAAACCAGATATGTGGTCTAAATTACATGACCATATGGCCAGATTGCTGATAATATGTGGCATAGTAATGGTCCATTACGTGAGCTCTGGCTGCCAAATGACAGCAAAATTGAAAATAGATACCTGATGGACCAGAAAAATTGCAAATTTCTTCAGATAATTCCCACAATTTTTGCTTTTGACCATGCCATTCTTATAGACCCTGGTGGTTTGAAGGGCCAGTGGGGTTAAAAGTTTTTGACACGGAATAAACTACTCTGGATGTGATCAGGATAATGTGATGTAGACCATGTCTTGTCTGTTCTGTTGTGAATGTAGCCTGGTGTAATGTTGTGTCTGTTACAAGTCATGTTTATAGTATATAGTTGGGATAGTGGTGCTGCTTGTTACTCTTTATGAACTGTGTTCATTGCATTATGAAATACATATTTTCTTTATCAATCTTTATTTTTTTTTTATTAATTGATGCAAATTTAGCCCAATCAAAGTCCAGTTGTAAATTCCTAACTTTAAATGATAAAAAGGGAATGACATTATAAAAGAAGTGATATTTCCATCATTTGTCCAAAATTCACAAATTTGAGTTAGAATCTAAAATCAAACAAAATTTTATTGAATTTGGAATGAAATCATCTTACATCTGGACCGAAAGGGTTGAATTTCAATGAGTAAATTGATGACATCAAATGAATTGTATTAGAATGGATTAATTCTGGTAATTATTTGCTTACAGACTCTTCTCCACAAGAGTCCTCCAACCTGGCATCTCTCCAAAATAGCTGCCTGTCCCTCTCAATGGCTTCACTTTATAATGGTAGGGCTGGTTTTCTAACTGGCTTGAATTACTCATAGAGAAAAGTAACAGTACATTTTACAGATGTTTGTCATATTTGTGATTTTAAGGCTCAAATAATTAAATGTACTTGTAGATACCTGATATGTTCATGATTACTGAACTTATCAAAAGTGGAAATTGTTTGCATGTTGTTAGTTATTTACTTGTCTATTACGAAGAGATCATATTGTTGAGAAAAAGAAAGAAAATTGCTTTAGACCCCGTAAACCATAACCTTAAGTCAAAGGTTTTTGCTATATATGCCTGCTACTGTAGTCATAGAGAAAGTTTGTTGACATCAAAATATTTTAAATACCTAAATTGCTTTTGGGTATTCAGTTAAATGTGCTATTAGGTCAAATTTAAACTTACTGCATCAGTGCTTAACATCTTTGACTATAGTGCAGTAGGTCTAAGCATTAGAAATGCAATGAAAAAGAAACATTTTAAAGAAAAGTGACAGAATTACAGGTGTGTTTTAGTAAGTATAATGATGTATCCAATGTTAAGTTTTCTCTCGATCTCCAGATGCAGAACTTCAAAAGGCCAATAGTCAAGTTAAATTTGATTCACAAAGGTAAGATAGATTGGAATCACCTTTCCCTCATACATTTTATTCATAAAACAAAATAAATTCACAAAAAAAAAGACAATAAAATGATGAATTTCATCTTATGACTTTAATAATCCTAAGAATGTAGTGATTACAATTATTTACAATATATCTTGAAGATAAAGAAAGAAAGTTGAAAGTACAGCAAGTTTTCACCCTTTGATTCAGAACTTCAACAAATTTTGTCTTCACAATATTTTCTTCATAGTGATAGTATTTATAATGTTTCAGTTCAGGCAATGAGAGTAGCAATTTCAACCAGAGTGGGAATTCTGGCAATTTATCTGCCGAGTCTGTGGCTATTGCTCTATTGAAGAGGTTCTCAGAACACCAGCTCCCCAAGGCGTCTGATCTGGAATGGCTGGTCTCAGAACAGGATGTACCACAGAAGGTTTGTTAGTGTGCATGTTGGTCCATAGGGGGCAGTGCTGTATGAGACTGTCCTGGAATAACCTTGATATTGATATTTGTACTGATTAGATCTCAATTTATTCAAATGCAATCTGCAGTTTTTCACTTCTGAGGTAAAATCAGATATTATTTAGTTACTAGGTGAATGCATTGTGGATTTTGGAAGTAATTATATTGGTATTAATTTTTTGTGGATTTATTTCTGAAACAGCTGTTCACAGGCTGAGGGGAATCAGATAAGCAAAAGAGAACAGAATTGAAATTCAGGATAAATTTTATATGTGAAAGTTATAAGTTATAATTGAATTCTCTGTCTCACTTGTAGCTGCTACCGCTGCCAGATTCTCTGCCCATTTCTCCAGATGACAGTGAAAATCTCCTCATTTTGAAAAGACAGAATTCATCTGCACAGTCTGTGAGTAATATTTTTTATTTTGATGCATGAAGGAAAATTTGTAGTCAATGTTAAGAGAAACACAGAGCCATTTTATTTATTGAGTTTGTTTGTTTGTTTCTTTATCATTCAAACCCTTTCTTGGTCATATTGAAAACACTGACTATCGCTGCCATTTATGAGTTGTGGATTATTATGCTGTGTGGCAACTTGTCATGATGTGCCTACTGCTTTATCTTTACTGCAGTTTTGTTAATTCACCTTGGTTGATTTATATATAACAACAACTCTCTGCAGTTAGGTAAGATAAATCCTTGATTTCACTGTACTGTCTGAGGTAAGTTTGTGATAAGTGACTGTTTACTGTCAAGATGTCTTTCAAATCTGAAGCTTTGTGTTTACTTTTCTTGTCTACAATTCAATCACAAGTACGAGTGTCTGTGACTGTGAGTGTCTTTTTCAGACTCGTCTCCGTGGCAACTTTGAGTGGGCTCCACCCAGACCGCAGATTATTTTCAACATCCACCCAACACCAAAGTAGGTGCTCATAGTGTAAATTGTGTTGGTGGAGATTGTGTTAGTTGAGATTGTGTTGGTTGAGATCATGCTGGTTGCAATTTTGTTAGATGTGTTAGGTTGAGGCTGTTGTGTTTTACAATATATGATTGTAAGTTTATTGCAGTACTGTTTGTTAGATATGTTTACTTTGTTGAAAAAATGTGTCTTAAACAGTTATCTTAGCAGTGTCAGTCACTGAATTAGATGAAAGCTTTCTTTCTCTTTTGCTTGGGTTGGAAAAAAAGAAACAAAAAGAAATTTATGAATATGGAAAAAATTTCAGTGGTTGCGTCAGCCATAGCAAAGTCAAAACTAACCTTCACAACTTTTCACCTATCTCTGTTTTCTGTTACCCCTTTGAAGAGCCACACCAGCTGGTGGTACATGTCCAGTAGGTGGTGACACCTCTCTGATGATAAACTGATATTGTTTCAGGAGGAAGGTGCTGATTGCCAAACAAAACTACAGATGTGCTGGATGTGGTACCAAGGTGGAAACTGGTAATATTTTTCTGTTCTATTTCTTCTCTTTATTTTTTCTTTTGGTAAAATTGCAGTTACCCCAAGCAAATTGAATTATATTAACTTCATAATCTTATTATAAAGTGAACTGTTTTTATGTCTATATAATACATTGTCACTAGATGTGTCTAGTGTATAAGTTGCAAATAAATTTAACATAATTTCTTATTTACATTTTTTTCTTTAAACGAATATTTTGCAAATAATACTGACAAGTTGGTTGAAATACATCAATACCAGTAGGTGGATTAAGTTTTGAAGATGACTTATGTTTTTGAAAAAAATTAATTCAAATTTTATGATTGGCAAATTCAATTTTTTCATCTCCCTCAGGTTACATCAAACGCTATCGCTACTGCGAGTACCTGGGCAAGTACTTCTGCCAGTGTTGCCATAGCAGCGCAATAACATACATTCCTGGACGAATCCTGCGCAAATGGGACTTCACCAAGTACCCAGTCTCCAATTTCTCCCGAGACCTCCTCCAGAAGATGCACACTGATCCCCTGTTCAGTATTCAGGACATTAACCCCACGCTGTACAGGAGAGTGAAGGCGTTAGACACTGTCAAGGAGTTCCGGAGGCAGCTGTTTCATTTTAGGCGGTTTGTCAAAACTTGCCGCTTAGGGCAAAGGTAAGCGTTAGAAAGATGAGAGTAGCTTTCTGACTTAAAGTTAGTTATAATTAGTAATTTGTACACAGTGATTTTATTGTGAAATTGTTTTATATGTTATTATTATTGCTGTAGTTGCTATTAATATTTTATACACATATTTGTTTTCTTTCTTTTTATTTTTTTTGTTTGTTTATTATTATCATTATTATTATTTCAGCTTGTTTGCTGAATTAGAGTCCCTTCCATCCAGTTGGCTTGACGACGTCCATGTCTACTCCATAGCTGACCTGATTAAGGTAGGTTACCATGAAAACAGGTAATACGTACATAACGCATTCAGTCAATTTGAGACGGCTCAACTTGCTGTCTCTACAGAGAGTTGTAATACCATAGTCTCAGTATGGGATGCTGGTACCAATAATCTTGGTGCCCTGTCCACTATATATAATACAATAAGTTGGGATTATAAGTTATTATATAGTACTGACACATTGTCATATCGTATGTGTTTGAAAGAAGACCAGCTGATAAGACACAGAAGCTTAAGTGTGCTTTAAGTTTTTTTCTTTTCTAAAATTTTGATTTTGTTTGCTTTGTCAGGTGAGGTCTGGTGAGATGTATGATCTTCTGAAGAAACTGGTCACTAAGTGCTATGAACATACAAGAGACTGTCCTGTGAGTTCTCCTCTCTCTCTCTCTCTCTCTCTCTCTCTCTCTCTCTCTCTCTCTCACACACACACACACACACACACACACAACATTGTCTGGCTGACCTCAGCCAGTCTGTGGTTGTTTTGTTATATGATGTAACACCTGAATGTCAGTGACCTCCAAGAAAACATCATAAGTTACAACTCTGCTGCCATCCAACATTGTTGTCATCTAATTCTTTTAAAAATTATTATTATAGTACTATTTCTGATTGTTCATAAAATCAGTGATTTCTCAATTTTTTCAGTCTCATGTTTGGTGATTTTGTCATTTGTCAAAATCATGTTTTATCAGACCTCACATTCCAAGATTTAAGATTTTCATATGTGATTATTATATGATGATAGTTAGTATGGAAAATGATATTTTTATTAATTTTTATTTATTTATTTTGTTATCTAGCTCTGCCAAGCCAAGGGTTTCTTCTGTGAGTTTTGCAACAACCGTCAAGATGTCATTTTCCCATTTGAGCTGCATAAAGTTGAAAACTGCCCGAGTAAGTGCTGTCGGATGAAAATCCTGTATGATGTGGTGAATAAATGGCAAATGAATGTTCAGTTGCGAAAAATTTGAGTGTTAAAAATAAAAGGCAAAAATTATTTGTAAAACAAACAAAAAAAAATATTCAGATTTCTGAAAATTATCAACTGAAAACTTTAAAGTAAATATAATGTGTGAAAGTGAACTACAGTCCTTCATAACCCATTTTTTATATGAAGAAGAATATCTAGAATATTTATAAATCAGATATGTATGATGTAATATTTAATTGTACCACCAGCGTAGGCGCTGGCGGTACCCATGGTTTTAGTCCCGACCCGTATGTTCCGCCGGCTCCTGCGGCTCCGCCGGCTCCTGCGGCTCCTGCGGCTCCGCCGCCAAGTCACCGTTACCGCTTCTCCTCCTAGACGGTAAGGGCCCCTGTACCCATCTCTTGGATTTAGGTCACCTATAATCTCAACTCGTTCCACGTAAAATTTGGGCTTTGTCGATATTGGGGTCTAGGTGTGGCACTCATTGCAATGCACCCTTGTCTAAAAATGGCAAAATTAAATGCTAATTATCTACCCTACGGAAGGAGTTATGGGAAAAATTTCTACAGACAGCTTTCCAAAAGTCATATGTGTAGATTTCAAATATGCCCTTGGATTTGACCTTTGACCTTTATTTCAAGG